CAAACTTCTCACTTCTGCTTTCATATTCCAGCAGCTTCAAGTTATGTAGCAGCTGCCTTCAGAGACTTTTTCGAGGAAATGTCAGCTGTTATATGGTGTTATATGTTATAGCTGAGTGGAAAATGAAAACAGAGACTGATGTGAGTACCGTCAGTTATGAGGAAAAGAAGAGTAGATGCAAATATCAGAACTGAACACTTCTTTTTGGAGTGCAAGCACAAACATAGTGCAGTCGGTGCTCGGCGATGTTAACCCATAATTGGCGACCCTTTCGCCACTGCCAAGCGGCGAAAGGGTCGCCTGCTGCTGCTTTAGCCGAGAAGTGGCGGCATCTCTACAGCTACGAATATAAGTGATAAATTTTCAGTCTTCCAGTCCTCACATCCGTTTTGAGAAATATATAGAAAGAAGTCTGCTCACCTAAGGACGTCTCCAACCTTATCAATCGCTTTTTGAATTGCGGCACTTTGCCCTCCTTTGGACTTTTTTTGCAACTCTGAAACCCTTCTTTTTTCCAGAACATCTGTTTATCGAAAAAGCAGATTATAGTTAATCGTGCTCACTCTCGAGAAGGAGCTTGACTCCTGCGAGTCTTTGCACTGGGATCATCATGATGTCAACTACTCGTTGACGACGAAATTCGGGCTGCTTTTCTAGAGCCTGCAAAGACATTATTATAACCTATCAACCAACACAGATTATTATCAGGCGATTATAAATGAAAATTTGGCTTTCAGCATCGATCAACAAACACGCTTAGAAAAGCTAGAGCTACTAAAGGCTCGAGCCTGAGCCTTACGATGTTCGGATCTCACTTGACTTCTTAAGGAAATTTCTGCAGATAGGATATCGCTGACCTCTATGAAGGATTTCAATTTTGGATTTTTCTCACATGCGTCGACAAACATTGATCTTGCGCTATCGCAATAATTCGTATACGCTGGGTAGATTCGAATAAGCTCGTATGAAAAGTTTTTCCAAATCTGGAAAGAGAACTTCAATAAGAGGAAGAGAATAGAAGAGCGCAGTCTTCTAGTCAGTAACAGACTTTTTCTTTTCTTTGGCCATGAACGCCTAAAAGAAGAAAAACGAAGTCTGCCTTTTATATTTGTGCGGGTGGGAGTCATCCTCCTTGGATATCAGAAACCATTTGGTGTGCTTCCATGCTAGCTCAAGCGTTCAATCGTTAACTATACGTGCTTTATTATGTTAAGTGCTTCCAAATGTAGCTTGCTATAACCCCTTGCCCATACAAAGCAACACAGACCGTGATTTGGTAAATTCAGACATGTTTAAAAATGCAAGCCATTTATTTCCATTAGGAAGGAGACACTGTACCCTACCACATTATGTGCAGGCAAGTGGAACCACTCACCTCGGCAATTTTATGACATTTCCTATCAAAATTCTCCATTAAGTCCTCGAGTTTTGCGACAATTTTCTCATGAACATCTACTATCGGCTTAATTTTTCCAAATATTTGCTTAACTGTTGCCTCCTCCATTAATGGTTTATTTTTAGAGACGCGTTCCAGTAAAGCGTCTTTTACCTAAATTCTCGGTCTTTGACTTTAAATTGAGAAAACGACGCATAAAATCACTCACTTTGAGTAATAGTTTGAGGTTAGCAATATAATTTTTCTCGGTGGAGCATATTTCCTGACAAATATTAAACTTCTCATCAGTGGCACCAGGAGCAAGCATTGTTTCAGCGATTGAATCTGCAGCCAACCCACAATCTCTGATTGGACCAAACCTCCCAATGCATGAGGTCACTTACTTACCGCATGCGGTAAGATACACATCTTCTACTATACGAGTCTCTTCGAGTTCGTCGATGCAAGTCGCTTCAAGCAAGGAGGGAGCACCGATCCACGGATTTACCATCGCAGTGTACATCGTGGTTCGCTAAATCAGGTTGACGTCAAAATTTAATAATCCCTACTATGATGAAAAGCGCTTGGGCAGTCTCTCTGTATGTGTCTTCGTGTGTGTTTTTATCTTATTTTTGTGTGTATTTTCACCATTTTTTGCACACATCGCGGTGGCAGTGGAGCGTTGATTCTTATGAGTAGTACAAAGTGGTAACTACTGATAGGGGCCGAGGAGGGTCAGAACGGATCGCCAACAAAATTTCGGACCCTTTGCTACGATGGAACGATGGGTCTTCATGTGTACATGTGCTAGGAGGCGAGCCTGCTGTAGAAGAAATTGTGCACAGCAATTACGACAAGAGGTGATAAGTGGCGTGTTCGACTATGAATTTTCTGGTTTCGTCGCTGTGGGACGGTGAACGTTGGATCCTACAAGTAATACGGGGATTAGAGGGGTGGAAACCGGACGGGGACATGGTGGAAGGCTATCACGATGGCTACGTACTGATAGTTGGCGTCATAATATGGAACCAATCTAATTTCGCGTCGCTGCAGTCATAATGCAGCTTTAACAATGCCGGATGGCAACATGTTGATAATAGTGACAGAAAAGATGATGAATGATGAGGTCATTCTCCTAAGCTAAGGGGGCTCATTGAAGACCCACTTTTCATTCCTCCGTTACTGAAAGAAGTACTGATAAATCCCCTCCCCCCCCAACTACTACTAGTCCACCTCAATTGCTAGGCGTATTCATTAGCTAGGATTCCAATTTCTTCGGAAACGTCCTTCATTACCTAATCAGGATGTTTCATCCGCGCCAGGGTTTACATAAACATACAACACAAGATCTTGAAGAGCGCCACTTCCCAATTTATGGTGGCACCGTTGGTATTATTTCACTTGGGGATCGGCTTTTTTGAAATGATCCATCGCTCAACCACGTCAAGTTGACTGGCAATGCTCGATGCTTCTCCCTCGCCGCCTCACCTCGACGAACACTAGACATCTAGTACGTAGTTTCTTGCTGGAGCACTTCTGATGTGATAAGAAAGGAGTACTGAGACATCTCGATGGAGTAGTGAATGTTTGAAAAGATGGAGTTTCTATCTCACATGCTGTGAACTGAATCAGCTCAAGCACCTGACACCATTCATGTTCCAGTTGATTACCCATAGATCTTTGCAATGACATCCAGCATATTCACCTGTCTCGTGCACGTGGTTCAGCTTTACAACAAATTAGCAAGCGGCAGTAGCCCAGCTTAATTGATTTTAATAGCAAAAACCAGACCTGCTCTAAATTCGAACCTTCTGTTGCGTTGACAGAATGCGAGAGTTCCCGTTGGGACCCAACTTCCAATGAGCCTTGCGTTCAATTCAAAAGCAAAGCAAGACAAAGACTTTTCAAAGGTCCTTCAACTCCACCTGCGGCGAAAATTCACGGGAAAAAGTTGGAGCTTCGCGCCATAATTTTTCGGTTTCCCCGTGTAGCCCTAAGCTCGCATGAACGGAGGAGCATCGCCTTCCTTCTCTGGTTCACATTATGGAGAAGAAATCTTACTTTCATCACCATGATGTCAGAGTAGACACCAGTTTTCTCCGACCAGAACCTAGTGAAAGAAAGGCACTGAACATCTACCCTTTCACTATAGATGTGTTGCTAATTATGGTGGTGTATGCGTAGTTATTCAGATAAGCATATCAGGAACGAAAAAGGAATAAAATCGTGAAAGGCCAATTCGCTCTAGAAATTTATGTTCTCTCCTATTATTGGACTTCCGGTCAATGGTGAATGCTCATCAAAGATGTCAGATGCTCAGCTAGTGAGCACATTTCATTTCCATTGCAATGTTGTTAGCCACAAAACCTATTCATCCATTGAAGCCCCGAATTTGAAAGTAGGGTGTGTTCGACTTTTTTCACTCCAGTGAAAAAAGTGATGCATCCGTTCGGGATGCAGTAACTGTTCTATTCGAAGTTTAGAGAGAGTTCATTTCCATGTCTTAGTTGGCAGTGCTTCGGCCGGTTTGTGGATGCTCCTTCCAGCTTCTGCTAATGGCTTCGCCCCTCGAGATCGTCCACCCAGCATTCCACCCCCCCCCCTTCGTAGTCCTCCCTAAGGCTGACTCCGGGGCTAGGGAGGATGTTCAAGCAATATTCCTTCTTCCGAAGTCTAATTCAAAGTTTGGAAGCAAAAAAACTTTCCGCAGTGAGAGCATCAGAGGGAAAACAGTTCTTCGCAATCAGTAATTTCATAACTTCTCACAAAATCGGGTGGAAAGGATCAGTGAAGGGGGTCAGAAGTTCACTTAGATGTTTATCGATGTAAGCTGCGCAGTGCCAAGAATGAGCAAGGGATTTCTCATATCTGAGAGGACAAAACTAAAAAGTCAGAGATATACTCCCTAAAATGGAGTTGTGGATGGTTACGCAGAGCAAATTGCCTCGTAATTCTTGAACGACAGCCAGAAGTCTACAACAAGGAGAGCAGAGGACGGGAAATTGGCAATCCGCACCCATTCTAGCCTTAGCTCCAGGGTCATAATGTGAATAGAACCTGCTCTCACTTCCAAGTATGGAGTATCAAAATGACCTTTTTCAAGGAATTTCCGCGCATTTTCCGTGCATTTCTTATTTTTCTAGGCATTTCCAAAGAAGTAGACTTTCAGTATGTAAGTGTGCCAAGGGATAAAGCATAAAGGATAAAGCATCTGCCCGTTGATCAATCCCGTTGGGATTCGGGCCCATTTGCCCTCAATCCCTTTTTGGGATGCGGCACGCATTCTACTTCCATTTGTACATTCGCAGTGGCATTTGAATGCGATGTGGCCTATACAATGACTTGCGGGGGCCAGCCGATGTTCAAGTCAGTGTTTTTATCCTCCCAGACAAGTCTGGTACCAATTAACCGACCCCGGAGGGATGGAAGGCTTGGTTGGCCCGGGCGACTCACGACCCAGGATTTGATCCCGGACCGCTCGCGTGGTGAGCGCGCCACTTGTCACTGCACCACTTCCGCCCCCCGTGCCAAGGGCAGGCCTCCATAACCCCCGAAGCTTTTCTGCCAGGCTTGAACTGCAACTCAACAATCATTTCTTCTTCCTCACCCGTTCATATTGGGTGTGGAATGTTGCCGCCGATGCTATTGTCCTCTTCGCAGCCGATGATAGCCTCGTTGGTAATTCTCGTGGAGCTTCCGATAACTTTTCTTCATTGTAGAGCTCGTGTTATGCCACAAGAGTCAAACACCGTCCACATGAGCTACGCCACAAGAGTGGAAGATTCTTTGACACTTCGAACGTGATAATGAGCCAGTTCGCAGCACGACCGATGCCAATATTGCTACGTCTGAGGCTCTTCCAAAATACCTATGGTTTGAGCAGGACTTTGTTTGTGTTCAGGTCGAACCTTATGATTGTTTAAAGCTGTATCATGTTGGTGCATGAAAGTTATGTGATGTTTTGATCACAATTTTTTCTGTGTGGTCACCATTTAGAGCAAGGATTCCGTCTGTGAGGAAAACAAGAGAAAATGAGTGATTATCGGGCACAGTTCTTGCAATCTACCATTCCAGACCATCAACTGAGTGGCGACAGTGTACTGGAGGGATGAAGTATCGCATCACACAACACTCAAGATTTTAAGACCACGACGAAAATCTCAGTTTTAGCATGGTTGTTTAGTCGCACGCTGTAGCGCGCACATCACACAACAGGCTTCGGTCAAATTTGCCAACCTATGAGACATCGAATCAGTTGGTTGACACATTACTTAATGAACTGTGTATAGTCTTTTTTCTTTCTTCTTCATAATTTTTTTCCGAGTATTCTTTAGTGGAATACCTTCTGGCCTCTAAAAATACAAGCATCCATTAAGTTAGCCGAAGATCTACATGTATTGCTGGCAGATTTTGCAAACGAATGATAACTGTAGTGTTCTTGATAGCGCGATAAGTCCTCACTGCTCGTCATTCATAATAAAATCCACCATTTCTTTGAAAATTCACAGTACAGCGGTCGATTAGGCGCGTTTGGCACTGATATCGGAGAAAACATAGGTATCTCCTGGTCACGTAATGATCACGTGGTACTTGTGATCTTGATCCTGATCATTGTCTTTATTGTTAACCATCATCGATACTCCCTCCAAGACTGCGTCATCATGCGCCGGTTCCAACGATGTACCATTACTCTGGAAGAACTCTGTAACTCCTTTTGTGATATTCCCCTTCCTAATCGTCTAATTAGCCCTTATCAGGGCTGGGACCAAATG